GGCCCCAAAACCTCTTAGGAAATTTGATTTTTTTTAACTTATTTCAATGAATAACCAACAAAATATTATCGTGTTACCTCACCAATTAGTTCATGTTTATGTTACCTCAACGAAATGGCAAAAGGTAATTCTCCGCTATATACAAAAGTATAACACTGTTATACATAAACTCTTAACAAATAAAAATAGAATAATGAATTCTAAAAAATTAAATAAAAATCAAGAAAAAAATTAAAATTGTCTGTTTTCCTTAAATATTCCATATCAAGTTTTATGACAAAAGGTCGTCTCCTGCGATGGCTGCTTTAGTTTAGCGGATGTCCATATCGGGAGCTGTGCCTCAATTCGTCCACTACCTCTGCGATCTCACCATCGCGTAGTTCCCCTCCCACACGCAACAGCGCACTGTAACGAGAGGGGGAGAGACGAGGAGAGAGCAGAGAGGTGTGGCCTATTCCATGGATAAGAGGGACTCGATCTTCTTTTTAGTTGAGAAAACCGAGCCACACAAGGATTGGAAACCTTTGGAGTTTCTCTCTCGTCAATTCAGCAATCGATGTAGACTCCATATTTAAATATCATTGTCAAAGTTCACCGATTCTGTCAGATTGCATTTAATAATTCGAGACAAAATTCAACAAATTTGTCCTTCAATTTGCTCTTTTCAATACAAAAGCTGCCATCAAAGAAAATAATTAATTGAAGTGACAACTATAAAGATTAGTGGAAAGAATGTTGAGTACTAATTAAACATCGATGCATGTCCACTTCGATTTGCTAACTTCGATATCAGTATCTTGGTAATATAACTCTTATGGATACAAGCAAATTGATAATTAAATTAAGATTAATTATATATTTTTTTAATAATTAATTATCTTCAGTATTTCGATCATAAAATATATAGATTAATTTATCCTAACATCATTGATTTTACTAATAGAAATATAAAAATAAATATTAAAAAGATAATTTTAAAATTTTAGTTGATGATGACGAATGACATCGATGGTGACAAACAACGAAGCTGCTGAAAGTCGCGAGTAACTATTATGGATGAAAAAAATAACGACAAGATGTGAGGATCATTCTGTATCTGCATCGATGTCGATGCAATTATCGAGCGACCAAAGGATTGCTCAGCATATTATCGATGTCGACAAATGCAAAACGATCATCATCTTTTATCATCACACTTCTTATCTACAATAACCTCCCGCGGCCTCCAATATCATTATCGTTCGCTACCAT